ATATGGTTCCCACTTTACAATAAGCGTCACAAAAAGCATTAACAAATGGTTAATAAAGGTTAAGTAATGGTTACTCACTACTGTTATACATTTTTAAAGAGCATTAATAAATGCGTAATTACGAGTAAGTAATGCTTACAGTATACAGCAGGGGTGGCCAAGTCAGGTCCTTGAGAGCTACCACCGTGCATCCTTTCCAACTCCCATGCCCCTGCCCACTGCTGCATACCTGCATCATGTGTGTTCAGTCAATCAGAAGCTGGAAGATACCACCTTAGATGAACGTGGAGCGAGGACAAAGTGAATTCGTTGGTTGAAGGATGGACAAGTAAGTGAACAATTATTATGCTTAAATGAACATTAAAACAGCCTTCTCCTAATGAAACTGCTAATCTGTGAACTTCGTGAAATAAATGTTAATATCTTTATTGACAATTTACTAGTATTACCAAGAGAGCATTTGAGTTGTTGAATGCAATGCTTATTATTGTATTATTTAACGTTTAGTTAATGCTTATTACTGCATCAACAAATGTTAGCAGTGTTGTTAAACACTATTAAATAATGTATGAAGTAATACTTTAATTAACGTGAAAAGCATTAGTACATGATTAATAAATGCATTAGTTACCTATTAGTTAATGCTTATTACTGCATTAAGTACGGTTAATTAATGTACCCTTATTGTAAAGTGTTACCTGTAAGTACGGTTAATTAATGTGAAAAAAGACCTGATTTGGTTTATGTTGTATGACAGCTGAGAAGTAAGAGGCCCCTTTAATCTGTGTTTTTTATGTTGAAAAAAGTGAATTCTTGCTGTAAAACAACCCCAGAAGGTGTTGATTAATTTTCAGAGCAAAGTATCCAGTGAATGAGATTCATCTTTCAACCTGCATGAGGTACTATGAAAAGCTAATATAATGTGTGTGTCTTGCAGGAGCTGGTGACTGCCTGGTATATTGGGTTCCTGGTACTAATCTTCTCCTCCTTCCTGGTCTATCTGGTGGAGAAAGAATACAACAAGGAGTTTGCCACCTACGCCGACGCTCTGTGGTGGGGCACGGTGAGCACACACATGTTACACACAGAACTGAACACACATTTTGTCTGTTGAAAGCCCTTTGGATACACTGGAATGCACTGTTTCCTCCTCCATTTAAAACCCATTACACCTTGAAAACATGACTAGGGCCTTGAATTGAATTTTGTATGTAACTGAAAGCCAATACAAAGATCTAAAGGCTGGAGTAATGGGAGAGCTAAGAGCCCTCACCAGTGGGTGGTGAGATTACAGACCAGCATCAACGTAAATCAGCAAAATCATAATAATATTTAACCCACAGAGTCTTGAGCTGTTCTCAGTATATCATATGGTACATCATATTTGCTGTCAGTCTTTTTATTTGAGCGTCTGAATCTTGCACATGATTTAAATATATAAAAATGTAGTCACAGTTGTTATACACAAATTATGAGAATTTAAAGTCCTGGTCACCTGAGTGCTGACCTCTGACCACGCAGATCACCCTCACAACCATCGGCTACGGTGACAAGACCCCGCAGACGTGGACAGGACGGTTGTTGTCAGCTGGCTTCGCTCTGCTGGGGATCTCCTTCTTCGCCCTGCCAGCTGTGAGTCAAACACATCATAACACCATGACTGTCTACATTTGTCTCCCCACAGCTTTGTACATCTAACACTAACAGGAGTAGGGATCATTTTCTGCAAATTAAACTTAGTACTGTGTGTGTGTGTGTGTAGGGCATCCTAGGGTCAGGTTTTGCCCTAAAGGTGCAGGAGCAGCATCGACAGAAGCACTTTGAGAAGAGGAGGAACCCAGCTGCCAGCCTCATCCAGGTAGACACGTCTACACAAACACACGTACCCAGTACCGATTTATTTTGCAGCAGCTGAGGACCAGTGTGAAAACAGAACTTTCTTTTATTTATGTGCAAATGTTCATGCGTGTGTGTGCATGCTTTTTTGTTTTGACTATCTCTAAACCTTTTGTGTCTGGGTCTGAATAAATGCATGATTGTGCATGTCCACTCTTTACCCTTTGGATGAGTATGTGCAGAAATGTGCAGAAATGTGTGTGTGCGTGTGTGTGTCTTTACCATCTCTCCTCCCATCAGAATAAAGGTGTTTCATTAAAACTGTACTTCACGGGAGTGTGTGTGTGTGTGTGTGTGTGTTTCCCATCTCTGGGCTGTCAGGGTGTGTAGCTGATGGTGACTAATAGTGTGTGACTCTCAGGTCCAATAGCAACATACACTGCCAGGATTTATGGCTGTTTCCATGGAGTTCATTCCCTGCATAGACACTCCTCCAAAGCGTCACTCATTTTAACAGATAAGACCAGCTGCATTACTTTCTAATGAACCATAACTATCTGGTCTGGAGCCTATGAATATTTGTGTGTGTATACACAAAAGCGTGCATTTGTTTTGTGTGTTTCTTCATATTTCTATTTGTTTCTCTATGGTTTGCGTGTGTGTGGTCACTCTCAAGTTATAACTACTGTGACCTACTTATATTTTTGTCCTAAAGAAAAATCAATTTCAATACATTCTTTCTTTGAGATTCCATCATAGATTCTATCAATTATGATAATATAATACTGACTAACTTTGTTAGTCAGTATTATATTATCCTAACCCTAACCCAAAACATGGAGATATAGCATGTGGTGTACCAGCTGTTAGACATGTGTTTAATAAGGACTTCCTCTGGGCGTGCACAATGAGCAATCAGTCAGCATTTAAGTCAAAATCTTTGCAGTTAACTTTGTATTTTTAAACTACACATTTGGAAGTGAAAATAACCTTGATACTCCAAATAGCTACCCAAACTGTCTGGTGTAAAAGATTGCATCCTAATGAAGGGCTTTCCAGAGTGACCGTGTCACAGCAGGCTGCTGAGGCCTGTCCATTTTCAAACACACTTAGAAATGTAACCAAGAAATGCTACATTTTTACCTTCAGCATCCCATAATCCACTGAGTCAGATGTTTAATGGAGCAATCAGGCAATCCTTGTCATCTTGTAAAACAAAGAACCGTTAAATAATCATGTAAATATATTGCTTGAATTACACAGATGGAAAAAAGTTACTGCAGGGTGTTATTAATGGAAACCATAAACTTCACTGTTTGTCTTAACACCCTGGCTATGTTGTTAATCACAGACTGTTACAATAAAAAAGAAAGTTTTACCATCATTTTCAAGTTGTGCAGTGTGTGTGTGTGTGTGTGTGTGTGTGTGTGTGTGTGTGTGTGTGTGTGTGTGTGTGTGTGTGTGTAAGTGAAGTATCACAACTTGTGCTATCATTAAATGTCATGTCATCTGTTTGACTGCAAACCTCCTGGGGATAAACGTCAACATTCTTAGTGATGGAAATTTATGCATTATAATACAGTGGGTTTTTTTTTATGGAGGACAGTTTGGGTGCACTCACTTTTGTTTCACTTCCAAATACATGGTTTAGGTGATACTGTATAAGAAAAGTCTCACCAGGACTCGATGCATTCCAAGTATTTTCACACATTTATGGGAATTAAACCGAACATTGTTTTGTCTCTTCTCCCCGTTTTAAATATGAATCAGTTGATAAGCTTGACAAAGAACAGTTGGAGCCAAATTGATCCTAAATAACCCACTGAGGGAGCAATTAATCCTGTATGTCATTAATGTCAAACACATGGTCACTACGTTTTCCAAAGGAAACTTGGAAGCAGCTTTGATGTGTTAAATATGTGGATGACATTACTCTTCTGTTCATCACATCACTCCCCCATCTCACACAGCTCTCCCTGCTTTAAACCACTGTGTGCTGTGGGTGTTTGTGTCTCTAAGCCTGAATGGCAGGATTTTACCACTGTCTACAAGCCTCAGCAGCTGGTCAATTGTAAATTTCACCTGCTGTAATAACTATTTGGTCTGCCAGCTGTATTTTTAGTACAAGACTGGGTCTCCATATGGCTTTAATTTCTAAAGTGGGCTAAGAAACAGCAGCCAAAATTGATCAGCACTTGGTAGGTGGCCAGTGTTAATTTCCCACCCAGTCTGTATAAAGTGTTTATGGAAAGGCTTTACAGTCATGTCACAAATCTTGTAGCCACAGCTGGCATCATCAAGGAGGTTCACTTTAGGTTTTGGTTCATTCTTAGACATTGCCTGAGGTGGATGTGCATTTTAATGTAATGTAAATGTTCTACCACCACCATGCTTTACTGCTAGTTAGGCTGATGCACAAAAAAGTCTTGGTTACTGTTGAGAAGATTAAAAGAGACTAACTGACTGACTCTGGGTATCACGTGTGACTTGAACAGTGACTTCTCATGTCCAAGTCTAACATTTGATGAAAGAGTCAGTTTCCATTGCATTATGTTCAATTAGCAAAGGTGTTTGTTTAGGAAAAGAGTCCACTCTTAAGACCTCCAATATGGCTGCCAGCTGGTTACAGCACATCCTCTAAAACGCCTTGTGTATGTTACATGATCACATAAATCTCAGTCCCTTGTTCCTCACCATGTTTGTTCCATTGCACTTTTGTGCCATGTATGTATGTGTGTGTGGACACGTGGATGTGTGTGTGTGTGTGTGTGTGTGTGTGTGTCCTGTCCATCTCTGCTCCATCCCCCGCCCAGGCGGCTTGGCGTCTATACTCCACGGACGGTGCTCGTCCCTACCTCAGAGCCACCTGGCACCACTACCAAAGTGCTCTCCCCTCCCTAAGGCATGTATCCCCTCCACCAGCACCACCAGCACCGCCCCCACCTCCCTCCAACTCCCAACCTCAATACATCAACACTACCCAAAAACTAATCAGCTTTGTCTTTTTTCCCTCCACGCCTATCCACCTCCTATGTTTCTCCCTTATCCCCCTTTTTCCCTCCCATACTTTACCCCATTAATTGTTTCATTTATCATTATTTTATTTATCCTGTTGATTCTGCACGTAGTGTGTCTGGCGTAGTTATGCTGCTGATGAGAACTCGGTTTCCATTGCTACCTGGACGCCTCATTTGAAGGCGTTGCATACCTGCAGCCCCGCCAAGTAGGTAACAACTCACAGACTTACAAACATGGCTGCTGCTGCTCAGGCCTTCTCATCTCTCCTCCTTAGCTGGTGTCTGTAGCTTCAGCTTTTTTCCTCCTATATGACTAACTGCAATGCAGCATTGTAACCATTTTCATAGGAACACTTGAATGAATATTTTTTTTATACCCCAATCAGAGACTGTTTGCTTAGCATGCATAAGCTTCAAACCATTTTGACAGACAGCTTTACTCATTCACACATGGGAGTTACCTAATGCACAATCTGTACTTGGTGGCTAAATGTCTTGCTGATAATTGGTAGATTGTGCAACTTTTATACATGCAAATTGTAAGTTTTTAAAAAAGATGTGCAATCTAAAGCTAGTTTACCAAAAGGAAATAGACCATTTCCATTATTTTGATACTATTACACTGTATAACATAAGAAGAGAAGGAACATAAAAATATAAAGACTGAAGTAACCAAATTCATCCAGTGCACACCGGATTTCAAACCTTTCAGATTTCTCTGTCTGTCTTTTAGCAGATGCTTACTGTGCATGACCAAAGCTTGCATATGCTTTGAAATAATTAACTCCAGTAAATTATTTAAAGTATTTTTCTTCTTGCTTTTTTGGCTCGATGCCTCTCATATCCATTAGTGGGAACTTTTGTATGAACCCATTTTAATCTGAATCTCTTAATCTGATATACCGATTTCTCTCCCTTTGTCTCTTCCTCTTTATCTCACTAACTCATGAAGGAAAGAGCAGGGCGAGACTACTTACAGGTTTGTATGACTCAGCTCCTCCAAAGACACAAACACACACACACACTCTCCACATGTGATGCTATAAAACTTGTTTTATGCCTATTGTTTTGTCTTAACATTGTTGAAATTGTGATATCTGGTTTTCCTTAGTAAATGCTTTAGTTAGTTCCTTTGTTGTTTAATTGCAGATTGGGTTCTCATATTTTCTAATGATGAATTAATTGTTGATTTATGTCTGTTGTTGACATTTATCAGATAATAAGGATGGTTTTGAATCTATTAAAAACTGCAGTAGCCATCTAAGGCCTGGGATATATTGATGAGTTAGTTGCTTGGTTTATTAATTGACTGATTTAGTGAACTCTTATTTACCCATTAGAACTAATTCAAAGGTCTAAAGTTGATTTATAGATGATAACTTTTTTTACACAGTTATGACGTGGTAAAGTGCCAGTGATGTTGTAAGCCAGAATGGGGGAAGAAAAGAAAAAGGTTAGAAACATTAAACCTGAGAGAAGGTACTGTACACTGCAGTACTATGACATATAAAATATTATAGTGGGCAGTTGAGCAACAACATGGTGAATGTAGTCTGATAAAAGGAAACCAGAGGTGTCTGCTCTACATTTATTTACCATTTGAATAAAACTTGAAAGGTCAGTAGCTAATACAGTCTCTTAAGTGCTCTGCTGTAGTGCAGTTATTGACTGGAACTGCACTGGATTCAGAACGACAGACAGCAAGACGCATTTATAGAGACAGCTGTCTTTACATTATATACAGTGAAACTGAAGGTATAGAGTAAATAAAGTACCAAGAGCTACTTCTGAATGATCGTTTGTGAAGGGTCGCTGTGCTGTACTGTCCCAGCTTTCTTCTCCTTTTTTTATGTCCTTACTTTACTTTTCCAGCTTTTTCTTTATATCTCATCTTCTTTTGTTTCTCATTTCACTGCAGTGTTTCTCTCCACATTTGACTTTGAGGCAGGGAAGGGTAACAGGCTTCTGTGTCTTTGCTGGGTGTGTGTGTACGCATATGCATGCACACACACCTCAAAAACAGGAGTCTGTACCATGTCTGTACCATGACACACTTTTTCCATTGGGACAGTATTTATATAATTCATCAAACACAAGTCTAGGAGAGACAGAGCAAAGTTGAGAGAGGGTTATGGGAGGGGGCTGGGGGATTCCAGAGACGAAAAAGATATTTTTGAGTTTAATTATGCTAGTAAAGCTTTTACAATGCAACACTTTTTTGTCAACATTTAGTGGCCTTATGAAGAGCCATGAGCAACATACACTATGGAAAAGGAAAAAGAAAGTTTAGCTTAACTTTAACAAAGTTTTTCAGTCAAACACACAAACAAATGTGCTTCTCAACCTTAAACAAAATAACATTTAATTAGGCTTTGTTGCTTCAGCAACATTCATTACCCAGAAATCCCTCTGTTTAAAGGACTGTGTTTAATTACCCTTTCCCTTCTTATAAACTTTTGTTGAAGCAAGTTCAATTCACAATTGTGAAATCATAATTATGCACACTTTGATGACACTGTTTCTTTTCTCTATATTACACACAGTATAGATACCGGCTTTCATCAAACTCGATTTGACAGTTCTAGGTGAAAGGTTATTCAATCAGAAGCTTTGACCCATGGGGAACATGAGACAATGGATGTCCTTGAGTTATTTATTGGGGGTAATTATTTAGATGGTAAAAACAGCGTTTGCTCGAGATAAAACAGAGCCTATAGCATATGTTCCTCAACACAGAGCTGTGTTCTTTGTAAGAGAGGTGCAAAAACGGGGTAAAACACCTTGCAGCTGTTCACCCCCCTCTCTCAGACTCGCTGCTTTATGAACCGC